GAGGAATAAATCTAGTTTCCTCTTGAAAATGTCCACGGTTGTTCCGGCAATATTTCTTATGCTTGCTGGGAGGACGTTGAACAACCGCGGACCTCTGATGTTTATACAGTGTTCTCTGATTGTGCCTATGGCACCTCTGCTCTTCATTGGTTCTATTTTACATTTTCTTCCATGTCGTTCACTCCAGTACGTTGTTATTTTACTGTGTAGATTTGGTACTTGGCCCTCCAGTATCTTCCAGGTGTATATTATTTGATATCTCTCTCGTCTTCTTTCTAGTGAGTACATTTGGAGGGCTTTGAGACGATCCCAATAATTTAGGTGCTTTATTGCATCTATGCGTGCCGTATGTTTTTTTTTTTTTTTTTTTTTTTGAGATATATACAAGAGTTGTTACATTCTTGTACAGCCACTAGTACGCGTAGCGTTTCGGGCAAGTCCTTAATCCTATGGTCCCTGGAATACGATCCCCTGCCGCGAAGAATCGTTTTTTCATCCAAGTACACATTTTACTGTTGCGTTAAACAGAGGCTACAGTTAAGGAATTGCGCCCAGTAAATCCTCCCCGGCCAGGATACGAACCCATGACATAGCGCTCGCGGAACGCCAGGCGAGTGTCTTACCACTACACCACGGAGACTGTAAATGTTCTCTGTATTCCCTCTATTTCAGCAATCTCTCCTGCTCTGAAGGGGGAAGTGAGTACTGAGCAGTACTCAAGACGGGACAACACAAGTGACTTGAAGAGTACAACCATTGTGATGGGATCCCTGGATTTGAAAGTTCTCGTAATCCATCCTATCATTTTTCTGGCTGTCGCAATATTTGCTTGGTTATGCTCCTTAAACGTTAGGTCGTCAGACATTATTATTCCCAAATCCTTTACATGCTGTTTTCCTACTATGGGTACATTTGATTGTGTTTTGTACTCTGTATTATGTTTAAGGTCCTCATTTTTACCGTACCTGAGTACCTGGAATTTATCACTGTTAAACATCATGTTATTTTCTGATGCCCAGTCGAAAACTTTATTAATATCAGCTTGAAGTTTTTCAATGTCCTCAGCCGAGGTAATTTTCATACTGATCTTTGTGTCATCTGCAAAGGATGATCCCTTTGATGATATCCTGATCCCTTCCAAATGCTTATATAATCGTAATGGCTTGGGTGCTTTCCCTTGATAATTCCCGCCCCTCTCTCATCTGTCTAAGTTTCAGCCCCGCTCCTGTGCCAGGTAAGTCCACTACGGGCTCACCATAGCCCGTGCTACTTGGAACTTTTAGTTCCCAGTAGCTGAATCTTAAACAACAACAACATCTCGTCTGTCCCACTTCTGGAGATTGCCAAAGGTCTTCCTGCCAGTTAACATGTACGACCTCACTTCCAGGTTGTATTTTATTATCTCAGATAATAAGATACTATCTTATCTTTTATTATCTACTTGGACTTGATCTTATTTCCTTGGGATGGTTATTCCCGTAAATAAGAAACAGCAATGGAGCCTAGGACGGATCCTTCGGGGGGACTCCACTTGTGTACTGATTTTGGTTCCCCTTAAATCCCTCTCTAATTCTGCATCATGTAATTTTCTTATTAAAATTTCCATGCATTTCCCGTTAAAAATCATTTTATTTTCTGTATTAACTGTTGAACCAAGATTTGACTTTGCTTCTCTCGACTCCCTTGTTCTTAAGTGTGATGATCTGCCCCCATGGCATCCAGGACGCTAATTAAATCATCTTATTTTATATTTTTCCATTTTATACTCGTGCCCAGTGCTCATCTATGAGGCTGGGCCCCCTCACCCTTCCGGTAACGTCCACATCTGTAATCTCGCGCTATCCACGAATACAATAACGAAGTGGTGACTGGATCCTAGAGGGATCTCCTACCCATTCTTCCCAATATGATGTTAGGGGTGAACATAGAGTTTCATCGTTGTTGGTGTGGAGAGGAAAAATAGTGGCTGGAGGGCAGAGTGGGATGCTGCACATTGTTCATCATCTGCGGAGGCTGCGTCTTCTCTGGGTCTCATCTCCAGCACCGAACGGATGCTGGCAAAAACTTGACCTGGCCCGTCATGCGTGTGTTGTGTCGGAGGGGTGTTTCGGAGGGGTGTGTCGGAGGGGTGTGTCGGAGGGGTGTGTCGGAGGGGTGTGTCGGAGGGGTGTTTCGGAGGGGTGTGTCGGAGGGGTGTGTCGGAGGGGTGTTTCGGAGGGGTGTTTCGGAGGGGTGTGTCTGAGGGGTGTGTCGGAGGGGTGTGTCGGAGGGGTGTGTCGGAGGGGTGTGTCGGAGGGGTGTTTCGGAGGGGTGTGTCGGAGGGGTGTGTCGGAGGGGTGTGTCGGAGGGGTGTTTCGGAGGGGTGTTTCGGAGGGGTGTTTCGGAGGGGTGTTTCGGAGGGGTGTGTCTGAGGGGTGTGTCTGAGGGGTGTGTCTGAGGGGTGTGTCTGAGGGGTGTGTCGGAGGGGTGTGTCGGAGGGGTGTGTCGGAGGGGTGTGTCGGAGGGGTGTGTCGGAGGGGTGTGTCGGAGGGGTGTGTCGTGGACGGTGTGTACTGTATTGGGTGTTGTGGAGGAGGTGTCATGGATGATCCCTTAGAAACTTGACTCTAATTCACATTACATCTCGTTTCTGGGTTTTTGAAGCCTCACTCCGGGGCTCTGGGAGTCTCACTCCGGGGCTCTGGGAGCCTCACTCCGGGGCTCTGGGAGTCTCACTCCGGGGCTCTGGGAGTCTCACTCCGGGGCTCTGGGAGCCTCACTCCGGGGCTCTGGGAGCTTCACTCCGGGGCTCTGGGAGCTTCACTCCGGGGCTCTGGGAGTCTCACTCCGGGGCTCTGGGAGCCTCACTCCGGGGCTCTGGGAGCTTCACTCCGGGGCTCTGGGAGCCTCACTCCGGGGCTCTGGGAGCCTCACTCCGGGGCTCTGGGAGCCTCACTCCGGGGCTCTGGGAGCCTCACTCCGGGGCTCTGGGAGCCTCACTCCGGGGCTCTGGGAGCCTCACTCCGGGGCTCTGGGAGCCTCACTCCGGGGCTCTGGGAGCCTCACTCCGGGGCTCTGGGAGTCTTAGTCTCTGCCTCCAAAATGCTGCAAATCGTTAAGATTCTCATAAAGTTGGTCCGCTTGGCTGAGCGGGAACCACGTGATGATGCCAGTGATTACTAGCAGCTTGATTTATGGTGGGGGAGTCTTCCCTGTGGTGGGGGAGCCTCCCCTGTGGTGGGGGAGCCTCCCCTGTGGTGGGGGAGCCTCCCCTGTGGTGGGGGAGCCTCCCTGTGGTGGGGGAGCCTCCCCTGTGGTGGGGGAGCCTCCCCTGTGGTGGGGGAGCCTCCCCTGTGGTGGGGGAGCCTCCCCAGTGCTGAGGGAGTCTTCCCTGTGTTGGAGGAGCCTCCCCTGTGGTGGGGGAGCCTCCCCTGTGGTGGCGGAGCCTCTCCTGTGGTGGGGGAGCCTCTCCTGTGGTGGGGGAGCCTCCCCTATGGTGGGGAAGCCTCCCCTGTGGTGGGGGAGCCTCTCCTGTGGTGGGGGAGCCTCCCCTGTGGTGGGGAAGCCTTCCCTGTGGTGGGGGCGCCTCCCCTGTGGTGGGGAAGCCTCCCCTGTGGTGGGGAGCCTCCCCTGTGGCAGGGAGGTAAAACTGGCATTCAACTTTTAGTAGGAAGACTAAATTGTAAGTTGTAAGTATATTATTAAAACAAAATGATTGTCTGAATCTAAACCTCTGATAGGTGGGGGACATCCAGACTGATCCTCTGTAAGGCTGGAGACGGTGGCTCATTAACTCCTTATAGTGGCGGATGGGGGGGGGGGGCGGACTTAGCCTAAGTTCCAATATGGTAGGAAAGGTAATCTGAACCCCTTGTTTAGTCGTAATTTAGTCTGATGTATGGTGGAGGCGCATAACTTGAACTTTTGTATGGTGGGTGGGGATGATGACTGAACCTTTTTTATGGTGGGGTTGATGACTGAACCTTTTTTATTGTGGGGTTGATGACTGAATCTTTTTTTATGGTGGGATGTTGACTGAATCTTTTTTTATGGTGGGGATGATGACTGAACCTTTTCTATGTTCGGGACGTTGACTGAATCTTTTCTATGGTCGGGACGTTGACTGAATCTTTTCTATGGTAGGGACGTTGACTGAATCTTTTCTATAGTCGGGACGTTGACTGAATCTTTTCTATGGTCGGGACGTTGACTGAATTTTTTCTATGGTCGGGAGGTTGACTGAATCTTTTCTATGGTAGGGACGTTGACTGAATCTTTTCTATGGTTGGGGACAATGACTGAACATTTTCTCTAGTCAGGGGACCGTGTCTGAACTAATGTATTAAGGGTAAATCAGAACCTGGTTTCAATTCATTTTTCATCAGGACTGTGCTCTTAACAATTAAATAACTTCACAATCCCCCGTAAGAAAATAAAACAATCAACCAACTGGGTCACAAACAAAGGGGTTAAATCGTGTTTTGGGAACATGACGAAGTGAAGGGAGAGGTAAGGGAAAGGTAGGAGGAGGGAAGGAGGGGGGGGGGGTGGAGAAAGGGGAGGAGCAGGAGGGGAAGGGCGAGGTTGAGGGAGGGGAGAAGAAAAGGTGAGGGAGGGGGTGTGTGGGTGGGGCCAATTTGGGTCACGGACGGGAGATGATAGTGAAGGGTAGAGGGCATCAGTGGGTGCATGGGGAATGGGGATGCGTGGGAGTGGGCGGGTACTGCAGGTGAGGATGAGCAGCTGTGGGCGGGTACTGCAGGTGTGTGTGAGCAGCTGTAGGCGGGTACTGCAGGTGTGTGTGAGCAGCTGTGGGCGGGTACTGCAGGTGTGTATGAGCAGCTGTGGGCGGGTACTGCAGGTGTGTATGAGCAGCTGTGGGCGGGTACTGCAGGTGTGGATGAGCAGCTGTGGGCGGGTACAGCAGGTGTGTATGAGCAGCTGTGGGCGGGTACTCCAGGTGTGTATGAGCAGCTGTGGGCGGATATTGCAGGTGAGGATGAGCAGCTGTGGGCGGGTACTGGAGGTGTATGAGCAGCTGTGGACGGGTACTGCAGGTGTGTATGAGCAGCTGTGGGCGGGTACTGCAGGTGTGTGTGAGCAGCTGTGGGCGGGTACTGCAGGTGTGTATGAGCAGCTGTGGGCGGGTACTGCAGGTGTATATGAGCAGCTGTGGGCGGGTACTGCAGGTGTGTATGAGCAGCTGTAGACGGGTACAGCAGGTGTGTATGAGCAGCTGTGGGCGGGTACTGCAGGTGAGGATGAGCAGCTGTGGACGAGTACTGCAGGTGTGTATGAGCAGCTGTGGGCGGGTACTGCAGGTGTGTATGAGTAGCTGTGGGCGAGTACTGCAAGTATGTATGAGCAGCTGTGGGCGAGTACTGCAGGTGTGTATGAGCAGCTGTGGGCGGGTACTGCAGGTGTGTATGAGCAGCTGTGGGCGGGTACTGCAGGTGTGTATGAGCAGCTGTGGGCGAGTACTGCAGGTGTGTATGAGCAGCTGTGGGCGGGTACTGCAGGTGTGTATGAGCAGCTGTGGGCGGGTACTGCAGGTGTGTATGAGCAGCTGTGGGCGGGTACTGCAGGTGTGTATGAGCAGCTGTGGGCGAGTACTGCAGGTGTGTATGAGCAGCTGTGGGCGGGTACTGCAGGTGAGGATGAGCAGCTGTGGACGAGTACTGCAGGTGTGTATGAGCAGCTGTGGGCGGGTACTGCAGGTGTGTATGAGCAGCTGTGGGCGAGTACTGCAGGTGTGTATGAGCAGCTGTGGGCGAGTACTGCAGGTGTGTATGAGCAGCTGTGGGCGGGTACTGCAGGTGTGTATGAGCAGCTGTGGGCGGGTACTGCAGGTGTGTATGAGCAGCAGTGGGCGGGTACTGCAGGTGTGTATGAGCAGCTGTGGGCGGGTACTGCAGGTGTGTATGAGCAGCTGTGGGCAAGTACTGCAGGTGTGTATGAGCAGCTGTGGGCGGGTACTGCAGGTGTGTATGAGCAGCTGTGGGCGAGTACTGCAGGTGTGTATGAGCAGCTGTGGGCGGGTACTGCAGGTGTGTATGAGCAGCTGTGGGCGGGTACTGCAGGTGTGTATGAGCAGCTGTGGGCGGGTACTGCAGGTGGGTATGAGCAGCTGTGGGCGGGTACTGCAGGTGTGTATGAGCAGCTGTGGGCGGGTACTGCAGGTGTGTATGAGCAGCTGTGGGCGGGTACTGCAGGTGTGTATGAGCAGCTGTGGGAAAGTACTGCAGGTGTATATGAGCAGCTGTGGGCGGGTACTGCAGGTGTGTATGAGCAGCTGTGGGCGGGTACTGCAGGTGTGTATGAGCATTTGTGGGCGGGTACTGCAGGTGTGTATGAGCAGTTGTGGGCGGGTACTGCAGGTGTGTATGAGCAGCTGGAAACAAAGAAATGACCATGCATGCAAGAGGCAAATTACCAACCCTTACAGTGCACAAATTACCGAACCATCTGCGATTGTCTATTCCTTTCAGCCCTCATTAGTGCTCTGTTCCATCTTCCCGTTCCGTCCTTGTCTACCAGATCTATCGTCGTCTCCTTATTACCCTCTGATACGAGCACTGACCTCTTGCAGTTATGAACAAATCACTGTTTATATATATATATATATATATATATATATATATATATATATATATATATATATTATATATATATATATATTATATATATATATACCATATACTATATCTTAAACTATGAACAGTTATAGTATAAGAAACACTTCATAGTAATCAAAATAATAAGTCCTTATATTCTCATATATACAGGGAGTTTAAATTAACACAATTGATAGTACAAAATATTAAAGTTATACAATGGGATCAAACTCGCATCTGTCACGGCCTTATAATCCCAGGTTCGATCTCAAAATGTTCTGGTGAGTGGTGATGATATTTACAGAACTCGTCCTCTCAACTGACCCGTCTCATTGTGTACGCTCTGGGGGCAAGATTCACGAAGCAGTTACGCAAGTACTTAAGAACCTGTACATCTTTTCTCAATCTTTGGCGGCTTTGTTTACAATTTTTAAAACAGTTAATGAGCTCCGAGGTACCAGGTGGCTGTTTATAACAATAGCAACAGTTGATTGGGAAGTTTTCATGCATGTAAACTGTTAAATAAATGAAACTAAAGCCGTCAAAGATTGATGAAAGACGTGCACGTTCGTAAGTACTTGCGTAACTGCTTCGTGAATCTGGCCCCTGTCCCCCAACGTATAAATTAAGGGGGTACAGTAACAAAAAAGCAGCGGTTCACAAATATCCCCGTTTTCTATGTTAAAGCTATAGGTGGGTGGTATACTGGGTTCGTTGTGGGGTTTAGTACCTCATATTCTGCATGTTGTGGCAAGTGGTGAGAAATGCGACTGCATTGTCCGTTTAAGGATTTTGTTTTAATGCCTCAAGTCCCATCTCGATTTGGACTTGCTGCCAACCTGGACAGGTTTATAACATTAAAAACGTGTGTGTGTGTGCGTGTGTGCGTGTGTGCGTGTGTGCGTGTGTGTGTGTGTGTGTGTGTACGTGTGTACGTGTGTGCGTGTGTGCGTGTGTGCGTGTGTGCGTGTGTGTGCGTGTGTGCGTGTGTGCGTGTGTGCGTGTGTGTGTGTGTTTACTAGTTGTGTTTTTGCGGGCGTTGAGCTCTGCTCTTTCGGCCCGCCTCTCAACTGTCAATCAACTGTTTACTAACTACTACTATTTTTTTTTTTTTTCCACACCACACACACACACACACACACCAGGAAGCAGCCCGTGACAGCTGACTAACTCCCAGGTACCTATTTACTGCTAGGTAACAGGGGCATTCAGGGTGAAAGAAACTTTGCCTATTTGTTTCTGCCTCGTGCGGGAATCGAACCCGCGCCACAGAATTACGAGTCCTGCGCGCTATCCACCAGGCTACGAGGCCCCATGTGTGTGTGTGTGTGTGTGTGTGTGTGTGTGTGTGTGTGTGTGTGTGTGTATACAGTGAAGATCATATATTACCGGAATATACAAACGACACAACACATGATCACACACACACACACACACACACACACACACACACGACACACCTATACACAACATCACCAAACACAATTCCCTCCATTCGGTTCAGTTATACACAGCTACATGACAAAGCAAAATAACCCCTTACGGCACAAAAACACACAACTATACACCACACAGCAACACAACCACGCAACACAACTACATAATACACCACACAGCAATATACAATATACACGCTCGATACAGCAACACAGCGCCACACACACCACAAGCCTATCCTCAGCTTTTCAAGTTGAACTTACTAAAGTATCGCAATGTTTTGTTGACAAACATTTGCTGATATCGTTTCGCGATCACTCCTCTTCAAGCAGGTGGAATAGGGTGTGGGACAACGCAGTTTCAATAAGTGACGGTGGATAGAGATTGAGCAGGAGACAACGCGAAACTGGCATATGGCTGGTGTGGAGTCTGGAAAGGATAAATGAATATAGCTTGGATACGGCGAATAAGGGAAGGAACGGTGCCTAACCACTTGGACCGTCGGGGATCGAACGCCGTCCTGCATGAAGGGAGGTCATCAACATACCGACCAGTCCAAGCGCAAACCTGAAAAAGAAAAAGAAAATCACTCACACGTGGAGACATCATCATTAATCTCTCTCTCTCTCTCTCTCTCTCTCTCTCTCTCTCTCTCTCTCTCTCTCTCTCTCTCTCTCTCTCTCTCTCTCTCTCATTCTCTCTGCTGCCTCTACCCCCCTCCATCATCTCCTTCACCCCATTATCCTATCCGTTTCAGACTTTCCGAACTCTCTATTTCGTACCCCGGGAGTACCATAGGGTGCCATCCCGGATCAAGCGGTTCCACCCGCCGCCCACAACTAACCACATGGCTTTCACCGCCCCCTCTAGAACCCATCCCTTACCGTGAGTGGTCGCGTGACCGTGTCTTACCTGTCCCTCATGCTCTCGGCTCCCCCAGGTGAACCCATGAGTGCCCCAGGTGAGCCCATGAATCTCAAGTGAACCCATGAATCCCAAGTGAACTCATGGATCACAAGTGAACCCATCCGGGTTACTGACCCTAACAATAAGCAGAGAAATACTTGGGCTTTTCATTCCGGGCCGCGCGGTAACGGCAGGTTAGAGCAAGTGGGGTTTAGGTGGTATTTTCCTAATGTATGTATATTGTCAGATAAAACGCAGCTGCGATGAATATATTGTCAGGCAAAACGCAGCTGCGATGAATATATTGTCAGACAAAACGCAGCTGGAATGAATATTTTGTCATGCAAAACGCAGCTGCGATGGATATATTGTCATGCAAAACGCAGCTGCGATGAATATATTGTCAGGCAAAACGCAGCTGCGATGAATATATTGTCATGCAAAACGCAGCTGCGATGAATATATTGTCATGCAAAACGCAGCTGCGATGAATATATTGTCATGCAAAACGCAGCTGCAATGAATATATTGTCATGCAAAACGCAGCTGCGAAATATAAAAAGCTATCAAACAACACGACCTTGGTGGTCTTGTTATAACATTATATTATAATAAACTTGCTTAGGCAAAACTACGTTCTCGGGTGATTGGCCCAGCGTTCAGGTGATCGTCAAGCCTGGCCTCAGGCCGGGCTTAGGGGAGCAGAAGAACTCCCAGAACCCCATCAAGCAGGTAAAGCAGGTACCAATAAGGATTATTGCACCGTGTTTTTCAATCATTCTCTCCAGAGGCAGTGTTAGTAAAGTCAGTGTCACTATTGAGGAACACTGTAAATGTCCTTTTCCACCACTGTGGAACATTGTAAATATCACTGTCACTAGTGTGGAACGCTGTAAATGTCACTGTCACCACCGGGGGAACACTGTAAATATCACTGTCACTACCGTGGGACACTAAATATCATTGCCACCACTGTGGAACAATGTAAATATTATTGTCTCCACCGGGGATCACTGTAAATATCATTGTCACAACCATGGAACACTGTAAATTTCACTGTCATTACCAGGGAACACTGTAAATATCACTCACCACTGTGGAACACTGTAAATATCACTGCTACCACCGGGGAACACTGTAAGTATCACCATCAGCGCGAATCACCGCCGCAAGGGCGGAACTCCATACGCACGTGTGTTCTATGAACGCAAGGAAGACGAGTCTAAACAACTTTTCAAATCATGCTGGGATGCTCTCGGACGCAGGCTCGAATCCTCGTCATGGCCCTTGTGGATTTGTTCAACTTTTCAAATATTTTGTTTTTATTCACGTAGGACTTGTATAAACAGGCCTAAAACGTTGTATTGGTTTCCGTTTCTGTTGCTGTTGTTGTTGTTTAAGATTCAGCTACTGGGAACTAAAAGTTCCAAGTAGCACAGGTTATGGTGAGCCCGTGATGGACTTACCTGGCACAGGAGCGGGGCTGTAACTTCCAGCTATCCGTTTCATACGCACATTAGTGTATACGCCGCATTCGCCTCAGCTGCAGATGAGGACAAGCGGAACGCGGAGAACAAGTCAAACCAACTACCATTGTCTAGGCCGTTGGACTGGTGGGCACAACGGTGGCCTTGCTTCTTGCAAGGTCGGCGTTCTGGTGGTTCCAAATGTTTGGGGTGCCTGCCCGTCCCTTCACCGTGTTCCTGATCCTCGTCCCCATATTCCCTTCTAAGTTCTATATTTTCATACTAAGTATATTTTCTTCTAAGTTCTATATTTTCACATTCGCCTTTTCACTTCATAATTACCTAAACTTGCAGACGAGGAGTCACAGTAACATGGCTGAAGTATGTTGACCAGACCCCACATTAGAAGGTGAAGGGACGACGACGTTTCGGTCCGTCCTGGACCATTCTCAAGTCGGTTGTGTTTAATCGACTTGAGAATGGTTCATACTTGTGTAAAGGAGGAAATGTATATGTTTATCTCTCAGAATGTTCGGTAATACGTTTATTGCTTATGATGTGTCTATGTATGTATTAACACGTTGTACTGAACGGGGTGAGAATTGCTTGAGCTACCTCATCCCTTTGTGTGTATTTTACCTCAATAAACTTATTTCGATTTCAATTCAATGGTCCAGGACGGACCGAAACGTCGTCGTCCCTTCACCTTCTAGTGTGTGGTCTGGTCAACTTACCTAAACTTACCCCGACATTGATTTAAACTTGGGAGAATTTGATCGTGGGGTCGGGAAAAAAAAAGGATTTCAAAGGAGTGGTTTAACTTGGGCAGGTCGAGTATAGTGATTGCCAGGCTTGGCCGTGTGAGTTGTGAGCTGTGAACTTTGTGGACAGTTCACAGTTCCCATCACTGTGATTTGCCAGTCATGAATCACTCTTAAGCGCCTGGGCTCGGCACTATAGGTCTCACCAGCAAGATGGATGTTGTTGTTGGTAGGTTTCCCCCTCCCCCTAGTTTGCCACGGGTGGGGGGGTGGGGGTTTAATGGGTGGTTGGGCAATAACAGGTCATCAGCCGGAGTGTGTAACACACCGTAATTACTAGGGGCCACTGCAGCGTAAGGTGGCTGGGCCCCCATTGTTTTCTCCCCATGCTGGTATTGTGGTGAAGTGATGGTGATGTATCTCTTACCAGCGCCATTTAAAGAGCCTCGTTCCCTTTGTCTGTTGCCAGCATCCTCAGGAGATAACCCGCTGGCAAGTCTCTCGCCTAAATCCGAGCGCGTCACGGTCTTTCGCGCGCGCAGGGGGTGTCGAACGGGTCTTGATCGCCATCACCATAACTCAGTCGTGATTGGCGATGCCCCAGTTGCTTGAGATTAGGGCAAGATTAGGTCGTTTAATGAGGCATACATTCGCATGTTTTTACTTTTTTTATAGGCGATAAGATGGAAGAGGAATGACACGCATGGAGGTGCAGAGATAGGAAGAGTGGGGAGAGAGAGGGACGGGGGTGAGAGGCGTCAGGAGAGAGCGTCGCCTAGGCGTCAGGAGAGGGCGTCGGCTAGGCGTCAGGAGAGGGCGTCGGCTAGGCGTCAGGAGAGGGCGTCGGCTAGGCGTCAGGAGAGGGCGTCGCCTAGGCGTCAGGAGAGGGCGTCGGCTAGGCGTCAGGAGAGGGCGTCGGCAAGGCGTCAGGAGAGGGCGTCGGCTAGGCGTCAAGAACCAACTCTACGCGCGTCAGATGTAAGAGAAACAACATCCACTATCTGCTCTCTTTTTTTCCTCTCGACTCCTCTTGGCTTACTCCTTTGTTTACGCATTAAGATAATGCCACGCGGGACGGAACTTTCTCACGATAAGATGTGAGAAATATTCATGACGCCGCCACACGACGCTAGTGAGGAATATTTACATGTAAAGCGAGAATAAGACAGATCATAAAATGATAGTTACGCTCAAGTCTGTGTTCCAGGTTCCTTGTGCATCTGAAGGAGAGTTGGGGGGAAAAATATACCGTGCAAATCTTACCATGCATAACATTCCATGCAAATGATGCGTCTTGGTATGTCTGAATCATACAACGCCTGCGTCTTGATGTGCAGGCGCTATGAGGTCCTTATCTGGGGGAGGGGGGGGAGGTGTCTCAGCTCCCGGCCTCCAGTCAGGACCACATCCTTCACAGTCTACTGCCACACCTTGCATACCAGGCACCTTGTGGCGCTTGATTTATGAGCTCAGCTTAATTGCTGCATTTTAGACCTGATGTGTGGCTCTCCTGGAATCCAGACCCCAGCTTACATTCCTTCTTCCTGAGAACCAGACCCCAGCTTACACTCCTTCTTGGGAACCAGACCCCAGCTTACATTCCTTCTTCCTGAGAACCAGACCCCAGCTTACACTCCTTCTTGGGAACCAGACCCCAGCTTACACTCCATCCTGGGAACCAGACCCCAGCTCACACTTCTTCCTGGGAACCAGACCCCAGCTTACACTCCTTCCTGAGTACCAGACCCCAGCTTACACTCCTTCCTGGGAACCAGACCCCAGCTTACACTCCTTCCTGGAAACCAGACCCCAGCTTACACTCCTTCCTGGGAACCAGACCCCAGCTTACACTTCTTCCTGGGAACCAGACCCCAGCTTACACTCCTTCCTGTGAACCAGACCCCAGCTTACACTTCTTCCTGGGAACCAGACCCCAGCTTACACTCCTTCCTGTGAACCAGACCCCAGCTTACACTCCTTCCTGAGTACCAGACCCCAGCTTACACTCCTTCCTGGGAACCAGACCCCAGCTTACACTCCTTCCTGGGAACCAGACCCCAGCTTGAACTGTACTCATTCTCTTGTGAATATATGAATAAACTTAACTGATAACTGCAAGACTAACACCTGAAGATGTAGACTTATTCGTAAAAAAAAAATGGACGGGAAAATACACCTAAGTTTCTTAGGACTAAAAACAGCCAATCGACACACTTTGGTCTCTGGCATCCCGGTAGTACAATCGGCTTCGTTCTCGACTAACAATCGGCAATTCCGGGTGGGACAGAAATGGTTGAGCGCGTTTATCACCAAATGCCCTTGTTCACCCTAGCAGTTAATAGGTACCCAGGAGTTAGTCAGCATGTTGTGGGGTTGTATCAGGGGGGGGGGGGTCAGTAGTTTGGCCAAGACCGGAGGATTGCGGGGGACCTCCATATGATCATAACACACACACGCGCACGCGCACGCGCACGCGCACGCACACGCACACGCACACACACACACACACATATAAGGTCTCCTGTACACCAGTAAGTTATATATAACTTTATTTTAAAATGTCATTACACAAAAAGGGTTACAACATTGGTAACATGCAGGGTACAAGGCTACTTGTCACAAGTTGTTGAGCTCCTCCAGCTCCTCAGATGGCGGGCAGGAATCATTAATGCAATGAGATTTCCTCTCTGGATCACCACACTAAGGCGCTGAAAGAGAAAACTGGCAGCTCTAGGGTCTCTAGTTGTTTCAGTTAGCTTGGACTCCAGCTCCTTCAAAAACTAGCAGCAC